TGACAGCACTCAGGAAGAGACCTTTATGTCTCTCAGGTGGGGGGCAGGGAGCCGGTAGGGGCTCCCCTCTGCTGCCTGGCGCTCCCCTCTGAGCCATTCCTCATTCTCTCCTGCTAAGCCGGCACCTCTCCAGGCAACACAAATCCTCCTCAAGGAGACAAATCCTGCTCAAGGAGACTCGGGTTATCTGATGGCGACTGGGGGGGGGCGCCCTACTGCCCTCCCAAGACAGGCTGACCCCAGGGCACTGGGACCTGGGTGGAGGAGGGATGATGGGGCCAAGTTCTAGTTTTGACCAGTTCAGCCCTAACTGGGAGATCCAGGTGGATGTGAGTTCCTGCCAGGTTCAGCTGGTGTCAGTTGGTTAATCTTTCAGTGCCTCAGTTTCCCTCCTTCACCTTGGCTCCCGCAAAAGGTGAAAGGGGCTTATTTCTTGTTCACCTTGGTGATGTCCTTGGGAGTGTTAGGGATCCAGAAGCAGTGATTTCATCGCGTGTGCTGGGCGAGTCCAGGGTCTTCCACTTGCCCTGTGAGGCAGGGAGGGCTGGGCTGGCTGAGGCAGGCTCTGCCCTCTCCACTGGATCCGGAAACTTTGCTCTTATCTTCAAAGTAGGCTAACAATGGGACTTTTCTTTTAGGGTGGCTGAGAGGATTGTAAGAGATACGGTATGTGCTCACTGATCTTGGCAACTGGCAGTCGGGCCCTTCATTTTGTTTGTCTCAGACCCCTGGAGCAAGGCCCTCCTCAGTGGATGCTTAGCATTTGGTGAATGGCTAGAGTTGAATTCTTTACCGTCTCTTACAGATTGCACAGGGCGGTGTTCCCCCAGGGCTGTGGGGAAGTAGGGCAGAGTTCCCTCTGCATTTACAGTGGGAAATGCACCCCTGCACCGACCTTAGGTGTAAGTTGGGGAGTCTGAGGCGTGCTCGTGCTGGCCAGCGTACACAGCCTCCAGTGGGCTGGGGACATTGGCCTCCCCCTCAAAATGGTCTCGTGCCCCTTCCCAGCAGGGCCCCCACCTTGCTTCTCAGTCCCCTCCCCTTTGGGTGACTGAAGCCTTCAAGGGCCTCCGGGACTGTTTGCCGGCCACAGCCTTTAGTGCTTCCCTTTCCCCAGCTGGTGGGAGTCTGCTCGTGACTCACGTCCTCCCTGGCTGACTCAGGGTCCTGCTAGCCTGGGGGGCCACAGTGCCCGGGGCACAGGCCGGGCTGTCTGGGACTGAGGGCTTACCCTGGGGGTCTCAGGCACACCCGGGAGTTGGTCACCCTCACGCTGGCCCCACGGGGTCTCCTAGTAGACTGAGAAGCCGCCGACACCCAGCAGGCTGCGTGCTCCCCTCGAGCCTGTCCCAGGTCCCTCAGCTCCCGGGAACGGCAGAGTCCCCAAGGACCCCCTGGAGAAGCAGCATCGCCTCTTCGAGGGTCAGAACCCTGTAGGACAAAGGTGGTGACGATGGCAGTGTCTGCCTCATGGCGGGGTTCGTGGGAGGCGCTTGGGAGAGAAGATATTGACTTTTCTTGTCTCTGGTTAGTGAGAAGCGGCCACAGCCGCCTGCAGACCCTCACTCTCAGCGCGTTTCGGTTACCGCCAACATGGCGCCTCACTGTGGGGACGGGCAGGAGAGCAGGGGAATAGGGATGCTGCTGTAGAAGATGGCGGCCTCCTGCAGAGCTCACCGTGGAAGGGCGTTCTGGCCAATAATAAAATCCTTGCCTGTAGAGGTGCCACATAAATTCCTGTGGGAATTGTTGTTTTACAAGTTAGCACAGGCCGGGCGCGGTGGCTCACGCCTGTAATCCTAGCACTCTGGGAGGCCGACGCGGGTGGATTGCTCGAGGTCAGGAGTTCGAAACCACCCTGAGCGAGACCCCGTCTCTACTAAAAATAGAAATTAATTGACCAACTAAAAATATATATCCAAAAAAAAAATTAGCGGGCATCGGTGGCGCATGCTGTAGTCCCATCTACTAGGAGGCTGAGGCAGGAGGATCACTTGAGCCCAGGAGTTTGAGGTTGCTGGGAGCTAGGCTGATGCCACAGCACTCACTCTAGCCTGGGCAACAAAGTGAGGCTCTGTCTCAAAAAAAAAAAAAAAAAAAGTTAGCACAAGGTCACGGCGTGCTGGCTGTGAGCTCCTGTGTCTGCGATAATTCAGGGGGGCAGGTTCGGGTCTCACAGGAGGATGTGAAGGCCCCAGTCGTCCTTTTGTGGGAGCTGTGGGGAGGCCAGCCGCTGGGGCTTCCTGGAGTCTGCAGGGGAGGGGCTGATGGACTCCTTCTAGTCCCTGACACACCCCGAGACAGACAGGTCTCGGCCGGGGCCTTTACACTGTCAGGCCCCTGAGACTGACCTCTGCCTCAGATAGCTCCAGCCCTGTGGTTCCTAGGAACCTCTCCCAGGTTGGCCCTCCCACCACCTGCCAATGCTTGTAGAACATTGCTTGATTTCTCCACCTGAAAGGTGCTATGAAATTAAATATTTATGAAGCACAGCATCTGGGAGCTGGTGAATCCTGGCCCTGTGGCCTGCAAGAGGCCGTGCCCCCGTGTCCAGAGGGACCTGTTAGTCGTTGCCGGCGCCTGGCTGCCTGCCTGCTTGCAGAGTCCCTACAGGGCCACTTTGGCAATTTACTGCCCCTTTCCAAAACCAGATTGGAGGAGGCCAGAGTCCCAGGCATATAGGGTATCTGAGTGGAAAGGGCCTTAGAGACAACCTTTAGCCCTCGAGTTTTACTCATGATGAAATGAGGGCCACTGTTCACTTAGCCAACATTTACTTTTTGTGTCAGGCAGTGGGGGTGGGCACTGGAGACAAAATGATCAACTAAAAATGGTCCCTAGGCTGGGTGCGGTGGCTCATGCCTGTAATACTGGCACTCTGGGAGGCCGAGACGGGCGGATTGCTCGAGGTCAGGAGTTGGAGACCAGCCTGAGCAAGAGCGAGACCCCGTCTCTACTATAAATAGGAAGAAATTAATTGGCCAACTAATATATATAGAAAAAATGAGCCAGGCATGGTGGCATGTGCCTGTAGTCCCAGCTACTTGGGAGGCTGAGGCAGGAGGATCGCTTTAGCCCAGGAGTTTGAGGTTGCTGTGAGCTAGGCTGATGCCACAGCACTCACTCTAGCCCGGGCAACAGAGTGAGACTCTGTCTCAAAAAAAAAAAAATTGTTAAAAATGGCCCCTAGCCTGAAGGACCTGTCTGTCATGAGACAGGAATGGATAACCAGGTAATTGCTGTGGGCATGCAGTAAGGACACAGGACAGGTTGCTGTTGGGAATGGTAGACGAGGTGCTCTGGCTGGGTTTTGAGGGTTGAGTAGGAGTTTGCTAGTGGGGTGCAGAGGGAGAGAGGGTATTTCAGACGTGTGCAGAAGCTGAAGTGAAAGGGTCTACGTGAGTGATTGGGATGGAACAGAATGGGAGACAGGTGAGCAACCACCAAGCTGTGGAAGGCCTGCCATCTGAAGCAGGTGTGACTCCCCGACTTTGAGTGCTGTGCTGGGGGAGCCGTGTGTAGGTGAGTCCTGGGGTGCAGGGCCGCAGGCAGGTGAGGCTCCCTGGAGACGGCTCTGGGGGGAATCCAAAGGCAGGAGGCCATGAGGTCCTTTGCCATGCCCTGAGGAGGGAGTGGATTAAGTGGTTATGTACAAGGAGGAATGGCTGGTGGGGCAATTGGCTGGTGGGACAATTGCAATGGGATAGGGAGTGGAGGGCCGGAGTTGAGTGGGGAACGGGGAGGAGGGGGAGGTATGAGTGAAGACTTCCAGCTGGCTGTGGGCTGCTGCTCACAGCTTTCCCTCCCTGCCCCCACCGGCCTGTCAGTGGACGGGCCTTGCAAGCAGGAGGTGCTCAGTAAGGGTTATTGTCACCACAAGGTAAGACTGGCTGGGCTGAGTGACCCTCAGACAGATCTGGAGCTCTTTCCTCCCCACCCCCTTCCCAAACAGTGGGACACAGAAGCACTCTTTGAAAGAATTTACTTTATCCCCAAAGGAAACAAAACAAAACACACCCTCAAAGTAGGCCTTAGGGGAAAGATCACAGCTCTGACGGACTTTGCATCGGACTTTGCATCAGCCGAAACAGCCAAGGAAACAGCCAAGGCAGCCCCGGGCCTCCACCCGTGATCTGGCCCCAAATGCCAACAGGTCCAGAAGCTTGCTCTAGAGGCAGCAAGTGCCGTGGATTTAGCGCATTGCATTCTCGTCTTTTCAAAAGTGCGCACACACAGAAAGAATGTTAAGTACTACATTGTTTTGCGTTATTTTCTGAAAATGTATGTGTAGGCAGTGAGTCCTGCAGCTTGTTCTCTTCACTTGCAGGCTGTGTGTTTGCGAAGGACACGTGTCGTCCAATGTGGGTCCGGTCCTTTCCGCTGCTGTGGCTGGGCTGCTGCGGGCACGGCCACGCTGGCTTTCCCCAGGCCTCGGTTCTGGCCACCGAGGTTGTCTCTCGTTGCCCCTGATCATTCTCTTGCCCCCTATTGGGAGCGGGTGGCTGGGGGTGGGCACACACGCCTTCGGCTCAGGCTCGTCCCGAGGCAGACCGGGGTGAGGAGTGGCTCACCCCGGCACTGTGGTTTAGTTTGCCTTGACCTCATTACTGGGGCTGAACATCTCTTCACGTGTGTCCTCTGGGGCTTTCGGGGACCCCCATCCTGGAGGGTCCCAGTCACACCCAGGCTTGGTGTCCCTGCCTTCGTGGGTGCTGGGTGCCCATCTTCAGAGGCTCTGATTTCCTTGGCCGGCGTCCAGGCACATTTACTTCTGTGGCCGCCGCCCGCCACCCTCCCGACAGGGCACGACACAGCTGGTTAGGTTTCGGCTTTTTATCTTCCGTTTTATGAGACTGCACTGTAGTGACCTTTGCTGGGCTTGCGTGTTCCGGAGCCTCCCGGTGTGTTCCCAGAGGGTAACTTTGTGTCCAAGTTCTGGGGCCTTGAGGTCCTGGCTGTCTCCGGGTGGGCCTCCTGTGACGCTGGCACTGTCCCCGCAGGCAGACCTCTGCGTTATGACCTGGCTGCTGGGCTACGTGGACCCCTTGGATTCCAGCTTCGTGGCGGCCGTCCTTGCCATCGCTTTCAATCCGCTCTACTGGAACGTGGTAAGTGACTGGACAGACAGGAGACTCCGTTCTTCCCTCCTGCATCTGCCGCTCGCTGGCATGAGGTTCTGGACTCCCCTGTCCTCTCCCCTGGGCTGCCCGGGGCTGATGTCAGGATGGCCCAGGGCGCGGGCTGGTCACCAGAGCCTGCGGGAGAAAGCCGCCCCCCACTGCTCACTCATGTCTTCTCGCTCGCGAAGCACATCGCCCCGCAAGGGGGGCTCTCTTCCCTCCCTGCCGCATTTGCTCGTGAGTCCCCCAAGTGTGTGCCTTACACATCATTATCTTTCCCACACGAAGCTTCCTGCAAAGCAGCTTGCGCACCCCCGAGCTGTGCTGGTAGCAGGAACAAGCCGACAGGAATTGAAAACAGGAGAAACCAGAGTGGCACCAGCTGGTTGATGGGTGCAAGGGGACGCTTGGTGGCCTGCACTCGGGGGGTGGGTGGGCTGCGTGGGAAGTGGGCTCTGGGCCCTTTGAGGAAGGTGTGGGAGCCATCGGCGCTGCTGTGGCCTTGGTCTGAAGTGCGCCCCACACTGCGAGGTGGTGCTCCTGGGGTTCTGGCCCCTCTGCCCAGGCCCTCTCTGGGGGGCTGCAGGCTGCTGGCACCGGACGTGCTGATGCAGAGTCCCGGATGCCCCGTGATCACCCTTGAGACTAATCTGCAGAATAAGGCCAAGATCAGCGTCAGCAACACACAGTTGCAGCTTGTTTTCATTTAAGGTGAGCCCTTGGTCCTAGGGGAGAACAGGGCATGTTTTTCATCTGGTTTATGACTCGGGTCTTTTCTCCATCTGGGGAGAGAGGTGGTGCTGGGGGGAGTGGGCTCCCCACGGCCTGTGCACCTCCCCTCCCGCTGCGTCTCTGCGCACACCCTGCACGCCAGAGGCACGAGACGGTGACGGGTAAAGAGGGTGTGGTGTGTGGGAGGCTGCAGCATGGCCCTGAAGATGCCCACACCATGGTCCCGGGCACCTGTGAAGGTTCCCGTGTACGGCACACACTCGGAAGGCCTTCGCGGGCGTGACGGCGCCAAGGAGCTCGCGCTGGGAAGGGCCCTGGATGGTCCAGGAGGGCCCCGGGTGCCGCCACACCCAGGCCGGGAGAGCTGACAACACAGGGAGAGGTAGCAAGCCACGGCGGGCCAGCAGCGCCAGAGGCTGGAAGAGGCCAGGAACAGTCTCCCCGTTGCCCGTGGGGGTGCGGCCCCGCCCACGCCTTGTTTTGGCCCAGTGGTAACTGTGTTTGGGCTGCTGTTCACCAGAGCTGTGTGAGAGAACGCAGTCCTGCTGTTTAAAGCCACCGAGTTTGCGGTCGTTTATCGTAGCAGCCACAGGAACGAGTACAGGGTATTCAAAAGGCCGTGGATTCCTGCTGGAGGAGCTTTTTGTGTTGACCCCAGGGGTGTTGGGTGTGCCTCGCGGACTGCTGTCCACAGGCCTCTCCACCTGGCCCCACAGCTGGCCGGATCCCGCCCTCTGCTCCCTGCAGGCCTGGCCTGGCCGGCAGTCGTTCTAGTGCCTGAGGGTCTCCCAGCACTGGGGTCTGGGGACATTTCATTTATGCACAAGCCCCCTTGGGTCATTTCCCGCTGGCCCTTGCCACAGCGTGTTTGTGCTGTTCATTTTAAAGCCTGGTTGTGGCCCACAGAGACTTCCACACTAGTTGAGATGCAGTAAGATTTGGGAGACAGGCAGCTTGCATCTGTGTGTTTGTCCTGAGAGTCTTTTTCTTATTTTCATAAGCTTTTGATTTGTCTCATTGTGAAAAAGTTATTCACTGGAACAGTTTGTGGTCATTAGTAACGGAGAGAGCAAACTCTTCAAAGTCACTTCAGAAGGAGAAAAGTTACAGAAACTCGTTGCGGCTCAGTGGGCCGCTGGCGGGGCGGGCGTGTGGGGGCGCGAGGGGCTGGGGGTCCTGAGCTGGCTTTGTGATGTGGGGGCGCAGGAAGCCCAAACTGAGGCTGCACCGTGGAAGTATTTGCACATAACCTACGCACACCCTCCTGTATACTTGAAATCATATCTAGATCACTAATAATACTCAAAACAATGCACATTCTATGTAAATAGTTGTTTTGCTGTGTTTTTTCTTATTTGTGTTATTTTGTACTGTTTTTCCCTGAGTGTTTTCAGTCCACAGTTGGTTGAATGGCAGACGTAGAGCCCGCTACAGGAGGGGCCGCCCGGATGTGGCGGCACTTGCTGTGCCCAGGTGTGGTGCTGAGTGCAGTCCGTGCGCAATTTCAGCACATCTTCACGGCAGGTGCTGCTAATGTCTCCTCTGGGGCTCGAAGCCGTCCGTTCATCCATTCCAAGTACTTTCTGAGGGCCTACTGTGTGCAGGCACCATCCCGGAGCTGGGGTGCACGGCCCTGGCCCTCATGCAGTGGCACTCCAGGAGGGGCAGTAAGTGCACACATGTAGCACCAAGTGATAAGGAGGTGGGGGCAGACAGGAAGGCGGTCAGGCAAGGACTCCTATGGGCAACCTTTGATCAGAAACCTGACTCACGTGGGCGGGGCTCTCAGGTATCTGGGCAGAGCATTCTAGTCAGAGGAAACGCCAGTGCAAAAGTCCTGGGGTGAGAGTATCCTCTGTGATTTCAAGGAACAGACACAGGCTGGAGATTGCAGAGGGAGAGGGGAGGGCAGGCCGGAGAGGTGGCTGGGCTGGTGGTGCAGGCTGTGCGGGCTGCGGGGGCCTTTGATGGACTCTGAGCACCATCTGGATCTGAGTCAGGTTTTCAAGGTCGCTGCGCTGAAATCAGAGCAGAGGAGGCAGGGCGGGCTGGGAGGTCGGCACAGCAGTCGAGGCCCAAGGCAGCGGCTTGCTTGAGAGGAGTGGTCAGGAAGAGCCGAGAGCAGCATGGCCAGGGCATGGGGGGCTGAGTGACCCCCGGGAGGGCGTGGCCATGGGCTGAGACAGGGCAACCGAGGGAGGACCATCCCTCTCTCTCCTGTCCCCTCCCAGGCTCCTGCTTCTCCTCCTCTCTGTTAGAGCCCTTGTTCCTGAGGCCTCGAGCTGCTCTTCCTTGCTCAGCCCCAGGGAGGCTTTTCCCGCCTTCTCTTGTTGGGTCTCGGGGAGTTTCACGGGGCCAACACTTGTTCTTCCTTGGAAGCAGCCTCCCCGCGCACCACGCTGCTTCTCCGGCCCTCTTCCTGCTGCTCGTGCGAGTTCCTTTCCTCTGCCCGATGTCCGTCTGCTGGACCGGTGCTCGCTGGACCCCGCCGTGCACCGGCATCCTGCGTGTCCTCGGAAAGCCAGTGAATGGCCTCTGTCCCCCTGGAGCACAGACACGCTTGTAATGAAGCCGTGATGAGGCTCAGGATGTGAAGACCAGGGTGCTGCGGAGGGACCGACCGGGGTCTGTGGCCTGGAATCCCCAGAGCCCTGGGAGCGAGGGTCCAGGCCCTGCGGCCCCCAGGGTGTCTGGGCCAAGGCCTCGCTGATTTGCTGTTCCTTCCCCATCTCCCTGAAGGGGGCCGCCTCTCTAGGGGCCCGGGAAGAGGTCCAAGGCCCGCCCTGCAGCCTGAGTCCCTCCTCTCCCGGTCCTGTCCCTCCTCTTGCAGACTCCACCTTGCTCAGACCCTCCTTGTCAGCCAGAGCCACCTGCAGCCAGACTCCCTGCCGCCCCTCTGCAGCCACCCCGGGGCTGCTGCGCTCCGGATGTGCTCAGAGGCCCCTTGTCTTCTGGGAGGGGGTGGGCACTCTTTGCCTGGCCCTGGAGGCCGTCCTGCCAGGTGTCCTCTCACCCACACCCTTGGTCATCCCGGGCCCGGCCCTTCGCTGGGTGATCTGGCCTCTCTTCCAGGGCTCCACTGTCCCCTCATCAGGCCCCTCCTCACCTGCGCTCTCTGGGTCAGGGCTGCTGACACCTGGGCCATCCTGTGCACTACACGGCGCCCAGAACATCCCTGGCCCCTGCCCACTAGGTGTCAGTAGTACCCCAGGCCCAGGCCGTCGGAGCTGCCTCCAGACGTTGCCAGATGTCCCCCAAGGGGCACAGTTGCTCAGGTGGTCTGAGTGGCCACTGCGTGTGTCCCGTGTCCCCTGAGGGGTACTGCCACTGTTTGCCCTTTGCTGTCCCCTTAGACGGAGCGTCCCTGAAGAGTTGACGTGGCGCCCGCTTCACTCCTGCATCCCCAGCCCTGGCTCATGGCGTGCTCGGGGTAGCAGCCGCCGCCTGGACGCCCGTCAGTGCCTGGACCAGCACCGTGCCTGGCGGCGACGGGCGTCCAGGGGGCGTTCATGGCTGCATGAAGGCTGACTCTGCTCTTGACCAGTTTTCTGTGGTGGCATCAGTGCTCACGGCTCAGCCCCATTTGCGACACGTGCATATGCTCACCTGACTTTGTGAAAAGAAAGGAATGGCAGGGAAGTAAAACGCAGTGTCATTTGTAGCAGGCTCACAGATTCCTGGCACCCCGGGTCCCAGAGCTCCTGTGCTGGCTCTCCCACGCGGGTGGCGTCAGAACAGGGCCTTGGGCTCCACTGTTGTTTACAAAAGCAAAGTGTGTGCGCGTTTTTTTTGTTTGTTTTTTTTTTCTTAACTCTTATCGAAGACCAGTTGCTTGTAACAAACGTCAAAGCTGCTGGAGACGTACCAGTGTGTCCGGGCCCCACGGCTGACCTAGAAGGATTTCTAGGGAGACTGCCCTGCGCCCGATGTACCTGCCTCGCTGGGACCCTGTGGAGTGAAGGGTGCTGTCGGGAATCCCGCTAGCACAGCAGGCGAACGGGACAAGCCAGTGTCCTCCAGCCTTGGGAGGAGCTTCCCAGGGACCTTTGCCCTTCCTAAGCCCAGCGCAGCCAGCTGCTTCCTGCTGTCGCCTGGTGCCCCGCCCTCACGCCCAGGCCTTTGCTCTGCGAGACCCTCTGCCCATCCTCAGGGGCCGTGGTGGCCCCTCCCCTCCGAGCCCCTCCCACGGTGCTCCCGCCTGAGACCCCTCTGGCCCTGAGGGTGGGGCTGCCATTGGTGCCCGGGCAGCTCCTGCA